AGGTGTGCAAAAGGCGACAGGTTGCGGAGCATCGCCGAAATCGGAAAGGGGCCGGTTGTGTGTGCCAGAGATCTGGTATATGACGCGGATCAGTTCCAATAGCTGCTCCACCTTGGCGGTCGAAGTAGCGGCATTGAGGTAGGTGAGTTCACCTGGCGACTTCTGCGGGCAGTTGAGCCGAATGCATTCGTCTTGGAAAGTGGCGAGGCGGATGTCCCGATCAGTGAGCATCCGTGGAGTATCAGCCAGGGAAATGGCGGATGTCTAGTAGACGCAGACAAGACGAAATAATTCAAACTGCACAAGGACGTTAGCTATAGAATAATACTCAACCCCCAAAGAAAGATTGTCTGGGAAGGAGAAGGTAAAAAGGGAATGCAGCACCAAAGGGCGGCATCACAATACAACCCTGAACTTGACTGCTGAAGTCTACTCAACATGAAGATATGCCGTTTTAGGAGGCAAAAGAGTAGGAGCGCAACATTTAAAGTGCATATAGTATAAATTCTCAAAGACGAAAAATACGCCATCAAGTCTACACTGCAGTGTAGACTCAATGCCGGTGTTTAAGGTCCTTTATTCCGCAGAGGCAGCTACGGAAATAAGTAAAAGGAAGCCAGAACTACGGGCAACTGCATCACGTGATCAACACTAACGTGTCCCCTGATAGTAAAGTCGTAGTGACCAACCTTAACCTTAGCATCCTCTTTGCTCATCTGCATCTCGAATAAAACGCCTCATCTACCGCACACAGGAGTTTATTAAGAGGAATTCGTCTGACGAAGCAGTTGGCTCACCTGGATCGTCAATAGAAAAAGCGCTTGACGTGGAAGTGTTAACGCGATTGTTGCATTTCCAGCAAACGAAGCCTAATATGTTATCCTGACTATAAACAAGCTCATAGTCTTGAAGCTATCAGGTTGCGCAGTGGCTTGGGAGGTTGCCAACTGAAGAGACAATTCGGACCGCTTTCCCTGCCTAATGTATTTTGTGTGGAGTAACAGTCAGACTGATATGGCACTTTCACAATGTGGCATTGCTGTGGGAGGAGAGCCAGATGCGCTGGACTAACACAGGGGTTCGACAAGGTCAGGGCTGGCGTTATTGGAGGTACGGACCGATAAGACAATGCCACATATAGGAGGGGAAGTATGGTGACACTCCTAGGTAGGGTCCTTCGTCGCGCCAACCGTCTGCACCCTCTCCCACCTCCGATCCTCTTGACTGGGTGGTGATACTGAGCCTAGGCGGAGACAGGAGTAAGCTAGAAGCATTTCCATTCACGACAGAGAGAGCCCGCCGTTGCAAGTTACAGGATTACTCCAGCGAAAAATCGTTAACTCTGATTCGACGCACCTGCGACTGGCATTACAGAAAGCCCATATGTGTGGTCTCGTTTAGGTGGCAGGCAACTTGCAGCCCGTGTCGCGGTCAGTGACAACGTAAACATGAGGTTATGGATCACTTAAA